TTTAAAACATCTGTCCGATTTATTTCCGATCCTTCCAAGCGATTACCTCACTAAGCGAATAAGATCTTGTCCTCCTTTCCTCCAGACGGCCCTGGAGCTGAGCATATTCGGCAAATAGGAGGAACGGAGGAATATTTATTTAAACCGGCACGCAGCACGTCAAACACCGACCAAACGAACGCTAACTCTTCCACCGATTATTCAGAACCGCGCGTCTGATTAATTTCCGCGAAGCATAACATATTTCGGAGTCCCGTCCGAAATCCAGTACCGGGAAGGCAGATAGCTTCGTTACAAGCTCCACGCGCTTCGGCTCGGTTCTATCACCCCGTTTTCCTCCATTTAATTCACTTGTTCGTCAATTATCGCTTGCATTGCCGGGTTCCTTGGCCGGTATCTTTGTTTTATGGGTCGTGACCCTGGTTTTACGCGTATTTCGTGCTCAATCATGGTAGTCGGGCCCCGTACTTCGTCGAACAGTGTTAACTCGTTTTCCAAGAATGTTTTCATTTGTGTTTTTTACTCTGGTAACAGGTGATTTGCCTCGTGTACCTCGTTGACGTGCGTTTTCGTTCGTCGCGGTTTTTTCTTTACAATCGGGGGTGGCGGGATGCTGCGGCGTAATCGGGCCCATAAATCCACCCCGATCAGGATCTGGTTATCTAGGCCTGGCATTACTTTGAACAAGTGCCTTATTTCCTGGCCCCACACTTGAATCGTGGCCGTTATCCGATGCCGGATGGCGGTATCCGAGCCGTCGGCGAGGTAGCACGTCCCATTGCAATCCCTCGCGGGGTTGCCCAGCTCCTGGAACGCTATCGCTGTTTCGGCGTTTATAAACGAGGCCTCGGACCCGATGTCCAGCAGGGCGTCGAATTTCCGGTCGCCGATTTTTACTGTTACGTGCGGCCGTGGCTTGAAGGTGATTATCTCGGCCGGAGTGTTCTCTATTCTCCGGCCTCGCCCCCGTTTCCCGACGGCGGGTGGCAGTCCTTGGTCAGGACTCCATCTCGGCCACAGCGTGAACAGAATTTCCGTGGTATTCGTCGGCAGTCAAATCGCGTGTGCCCGCGCTGTTTGCACCGCCAGCAGCACTCGTTGCGGTCGTACGGCGCGGTTGCCGCGACGGTGTTCGGTCTCGCGGGCTCTTGTCGGACGCGACCCTGTTCCTCGATGGCTTCGAATTCCCCGGCTTTTCGTAATAATTCCGCGGGGCGACGGACTGTATCGCGTTGTATGTACATTTTGTACCGTGGGTGCATATTTTCATACAACGTCTCTAGTTGATCCTCCGTCGTGTACCCCCCCGCGCGGCGCATCATCGTGGTTAGCTCCGTCGCGAATTTGCGGTATATTTCCCCGGGTTTCTGGAATCGCGCTTGTATTTCCCGCACTAGTTGCGCCCGGTACCGTCGCGGTAGGAAATACTCCCGGAAATCCTGCTCGAATTCGTCCCACTTTTCCCACTGGTCGCGGTTGTTCCGGTACCACAATAACGCGTCCCCTTTCACGAGTTCGGGTAAACCGCGGGGGATCTGGTCGTCGTTGAATCCGTACCCGGTTTTCAACTCGTCTACTCTTTCTAGAAACGCGATCGGGTCTCGGCCGTCGAAATGACACCCCCACTTCCGGATTTGGCCCATGGTTTTCGCGTGTGCCTCTAATTTCTCGACCGTTTCCCCCGTCCCGGTCGGTCGTGTGTCGGTTTCGTGGGTCCCTTCCTCTGTTTTGGGCGGGTCAGGGTTGGGGTTATTGCTTGATCCCGCTGCAACGTTTTTTCGGTACATGTCCGGATGTTTCTCTACGTACGCGGTCATTCGTTTCCGGAGTTTGTCCAGTGTGCCGTCCGAGTCTAGCCCTATCGTCTCGAGCTCTACGATGAGCTCCTCTTTACGCAGTCCGTATATCCACGCCTTCATGGTGTTGACTCTCTATATCTAACGCCCCGAAAAAATTTTTTCCTCGGTTCGAGTGCCATCTATTTCTACCGGACTACGGTCCCTGTTCGGGCGCCATGAAACGATCGCCTAATCGTTGTCCCCGCGGACTATGCTCGCCGGTGGCAGGGTTCGAGGGATTAGGGGGAAAGCACTCGAAACAGAGTTACGGTAAATTAAAGCAAACTATATTTGAATAAAGAACACGTGGATACACAGTATAAGTGCTTAAAGCTAAGAGCGGTCGCGGATGGACGGACGGACGAACGGACGGACGGACGCGGCGCGAGATGCAATGAGAGTATTTACAGTGGTGCGATGAAATGACAATACGTACAGAGTGACGCGCGGTGAGATGAACGTGAGAGGCGGGTGCAGATGAAGCGCGGGTGGCGGTTCGCGGCGCGGTGCGCGCGGACCGTGACGGCGGTGGATGACGGTTCGCGGCGCGAGAATCGATCGCGGGTGGCGCGGTGCCGAGACAGGAATCGGCTGGCTGCAGCGGGTGCCGAGAAAACTCGGCGGAAGCGGAGTACCCTCCACTTCCCTGGTCCCTGTGAGCCGTCGGCCGGTCTGCGGTGGTTGTACCCGGGCCCGAGAATCCTCGGTCGAGGCGGAGAGCGCTCCACCCCGTGTGTGTCCGGGCACGGTGTGCAGGTGAGCACGCGTGCGCAGTGCCGAGAAAGCTCGGCCGTGCCGCAGTACTCTCCAACGCGGGTTTCCCACTGCTTTAGCGTGTGACAGGAATCAGGTTCTGAGACTTGCGGATGAGCGGCTGTTGCTCGGATGCTCGTCTCCAAAGGAGTGCTTTTTAGCGCTCGTTTTCCCCTTTTTATAGGGGCTAATTGTCACGCTTCATTAGCCCCTCTCGGGGTTGCGCGTGCGTAGCGGCGCGCGTTGCTCGCTCGGGCCTGGTCGTCGATCTCCGGGGCCGTTCGTGGCCCCAGCTGATCGGCGCGTTCGCTCGCGGCTGCGATGCGCGTTCGGCCCCGCTCGGCGGTCTCCGGGGCCGTTCGTGGCCCCGGCCGAGCGGGTCGGCACGCCGGTGTGTCGTGCGTTTATGCGGCGCTATGCGCCCGCGTCTCGCCCGACGGGTGTTCGGTCGGGCGGCATCCGGCGGCATCCGGCGGGTGGAATGCCGGGAACGGTGAAACGGGGGGTGCATCGTTACAAATGTATACATTTCACCATTACATTTTGTAGCATCACTTTTGAAACACCCAGTATAAAGAAAAAGTGTTCATATACGGATTCCGCGAAATTTCAAACATCTATAACTCAAGAACTAATCAACCTAATATTAATCATTTATATATGAAATAGGGGTAGAAAAGACTGGAAAGAATAATAGAATTAGAAATAGCCCGATATCTCAAAATTTGCAAAAGTTAGAGCAACCACAGACATTTCTTAAAAAATTCAAAATTTTTTCAAAAAGAGAGCCGTTTACCGATCATCGCAAAAATCAATACCAACCTTCCTTTAGTGATTCTCGACGTTTAAAAAAATATTAGCCCGATATCTCAAAATTTACGGATGTTAGTGCAACCACGGACATTCGAATGGGCACGCACGCACGCACGCACGCACGCACGCATGCGGACTTCTAGATTCTAATTGAACTCGGACCCCAGATTGAGTGAGATCCGATAGGCAGCGTTCAACGCCGTGATGAAAGAAGAGTTAGGACCATTAGCATAAGCGTTGGCCATATATCAAATGGTACATAGAATTCACAAGAAAGTGGACAAACTGAAAATAATGGGAGAAAAACTTAAGAAGATTCAAATAAAGAACACAAAGGATTGTTGCGGAGATCCCACCGCTGCCACCAATTTTGTTGCCGCGCCGCTCCGTGCGCGGTGTAATTTCCTTCTTTCTCACTCCGGAGGTGTTCTCTGACGAGAATCGATAGGATTCTTTGATGGGATGTGGCTGGTCGGAGGTCACTTCAAGAAGGCACCGTTGGATCTCACAGATTACCTTTATTTAACTGAGTTTCACAAGATTGGTTGATGACAGGCCGAAACGGACAAGTGTATAACGCGTACAGTAGGTTGTCGGATAACGCGATAGTGACAAGTGCCTCGATCTCGGGCGTTCCTCTGGTTTTAAGCCCGATGATCGAGTCGTCAGCGTTCTCAGTACTCGATTGCGGTCATTCGTAATCGGGTCGAGAACTTGCTTACTTCTTTGAAATTTACTTAGGTTGCGCGTTCGGGCTTTTGTGGCTCGATCGCGCAATATGCTTACGCTAGTGTTACACTAATTACATTGCTTGTTCGAGTGCCCTCATTACCTCTTTGTGCAATCGGGGCACAACAGGATGAAGATATAAATAATAATTTATATACATATTATACAATAGAAAATCGGTCGAAGTTACAGAGAAAAATGAAATCAAAGAAATGAAACTTGACTATTTCTTAAAACATTACTTTAATTGTTATTAAACTCACGTGTCCTTTAATAGTTGCATTACTTTTCAATTTATTGTTAATTTATTTTTGTTTATTTTGAAATAACTCAGAATGGCTCTGTGTAGTCAAAATGTTTCAATTATGTTATAAGTTTTAGTTTACAAATTAAACTTTCGTAATTTTATATTGATTTCACTCGTTTATTGGATCTTTATTTTCTATATCTTTTGATTTGTACGAGCCTAACTGTCTATTTAACTTTTCTTACATATTGTTACATTTTAATGACTTCATATAAAATATTTGTCCTAACATTTTTAACCCTTGTGTGCATAACCGAGTACCCGTGTAACCACCTCGTCCTATTTTTATGTAACTCGATAAAGAATCAAAATTCCGCGATAAACCCCCGGATCGTCGTTATTTAACTCAATTCAAAGCAAATAGTGTATTGAGGATTGTTTAAAAATTTCTTTGAGTCATAATAATCGAATCTAAAGTAAACATACGTCGCGGTCACAACCGGGTACCCGGGTACCCACTATCAAATAAATGAAATACTATTGTTTATCATAATTTGTTATAGATTTATTTTATTATTCACGTGATTTATATTGCATAATAATAAAATAGACAAATAATTAATTTTAAAAATAACATTATTTATTTTTTGCATTCATGGCATTTAGCGAAAGTTGTTGCATGTTCATCGCAGACAGGCAGATTACATTGGCAGCAGGTCTTCCGCGTCTTCCTTCTCTTCTTAATTATTTGTTTGTAGTAAATGTGGCAGGAACCAGTTACTTTTTTCCTTCCTGATGCATCTCGTGCAACTGAAGGACCTGGAAGATCCTCCACAGGATCCATCAGCCGTCCGATCACACTTTCAATAGCGACCTTCGTGCTATAGTGTCGCATCACGTGCAAATTTCGAGATCGATCCTCAATCCCTCAATCATTGGAGTTGCGAGTTCCTTGCTCAATTGGTGCATAAATAGACGTCGCTGGTTAGTTTTTTTTTGCATCATCTTATTATTTTCATAATAAATTAGATAGGAAGCGAGTGAGCTAATGTCTAAAATGTTGAAAAAAATAACTAACGGCCATCTCAAAGTGCGACGTTGTGTTGTGTATCTTGTGATCATCTGATCCATTGTATCGACGCCAGCTTTATATTTATTATAATAAGAGATAATGTCCGGTTTTTTTTAGCATCATCGCTCATAGCCATGTCGGAATGCATTGTTGATAGCAGAATTACCGCCTTATTTTTCTTCGGCACGTACGAACACATTGTAACTTTCTCGTTGAATCCAAATACAGTAGAGTATACTTCTCTCTATTTATACGGAGCCATCACACTTGGAACATAGGGCTTATTCTTCTTCAAAGTTCCAACTAAAGTTAGATTCCATGACAACAGGTGTTTAGCAAGAGGTAACGTTGTAAAATAATTATCCATACAAATATTTCGACTACTGCCTACTTTGTACGCAATTGCAAGTTCTTTTACCACCCTTTCTCCTTGGTATTTCTCTCGAACGTTACCTGTTTTGCCAGTGTAAATTATGCCGCGCAAGGGGTAGGCATTTTCAGCGTCGCAAATCCACCAAATCTTGATGCCATATTTGGCCGGCTTCGAAGGAATGTACTGCGTAAACTTTGTGCGACCGCGAAAGGGATAAAGTTGTTCATCTATCGTTAAATTCTCTGTTGGCTTATACATCTGAGATAAATTTGCATTCAACATGGTCCAGATATCACGGATAGGAGCTGCTTTATCCTCTCTTACGCCTTGTTGGCGTGTATTGGCATCGTCGAATCTAATATAACGCATGATGTTACGAAACCTGTTGTTCCCCATTGTCGCTCGATAGAGTGGATATGAAATTGGATTCCACATATCACTTATATGATCAGTATTAGAGTTATTTACACCAGAGCAAATCAAAATGGCAATGAACGAGTACATTTCTTGTACAGTAATAGGCTTCCATTCGCGCTGCGAATCTGGATGCGCTTCATTGAATGCTGTATAGACTGACGCAGCCTTTTTATTCGTATATCGACTGATAATATTCACCATATCTACTGTCAATATCTTCTTGAAAGTGTCGCTAATTGAAAGTGTCTCAGTACTTCTATGAGGACCACTACGCTGACGCACAACATTGTAAGACGCAGTTTGATATTGAGGAGGAGGTGTTTTATTCCACACAGTTTTGTCTTTGGCTATGTAGGAGTTTTGTATTTCTCCTGAAAAAATTAAGGGACTAATTTATTATATGTATACCCCAGTACTTTATTTTTCAAATAAATGTACACTGAAAAGGTAAGCTACCTGCTCGTTCTGCAGCTGCTGCTTCATCCTCTGCCTCACTTTCACTGCCTTCATTTTCTTCTTCTTCCTCTTCGTCAATGTCTTTATCTTCTTCGTCATCTAAAACTCAAACACAAAAATACAACGAAGTTCAGTGAAAGTTATTGTAAAATTTATTTGATACAATAGTTGACAACAATTACATAAAAAGTTACCTATATTATCAGTTTCATCACTATCAGAAGCTGCATTTTCTGGCATACCGTAATCTGGAAGCCAGTCCTCGTCTTCGCTGTCAGACTCCACGTTAGACTCATCATCCTCCTTCCCCAACATCGCGTCCAAATAAGCTTGCCTCTCATCGAAATTCAATCTGAGATAAAATTCATGCATTATATACTTTTTCAATAAAATAATAGAAAGAAATCTACAAAGTAAAATTACAGATGTATATTCTATTTTACCTTGCAAATTCAGCCCTCGATAATTCTTCCATGACTCTGTAATCAATTCAGCAGCAATAGATACGTGAATCACTGCACAAAGAAAAACCCAGAACGAAGAGAAGCGACGCTTCAATCTCAATGGCTAATCTGCGTAGCCAAGCGTCCCCGCTGTCTCGTGCGCAACACGTCTAAACAAGTGCAAAATGTGTTCTTCACTTGTTTAGACGTGTTGCACACGAGAAAGCGGGGACGCTTGGCTACGCAGAGTAGTCATTGTTTCAAGCATCGCTTCTCTTCGTTGTGGGTTTTTCTTTGTGCAGTGATTCACGTATCTATTGCTGCTGAATTGATTACTTAAGAGTCATGGAAGAATTATCGAGGGTTGAATTTGCAAGGTAAAATAGAATGTACATCTGTAATTTTACTTTGTAGGTTTCTTTCTATTATTTTATTGAAAAAGTATATAATGCATGAATTTTATCTCAGATTGAATTTCGATGAGAGACAAGCTTATTTGGACGCAATGCTGGGGAAGGAAGATGATGAGTCTAACGTAGAGTCTGACAGCGAAGACGAGGACTGGCCTCCAGATTACGGTATGCCAGAGAATGCAGCTTCTGATAGTGATAAAACTAATAATATAGGTAACTTTTTATGTAATTATTGTCAACTATTGTATCTTAAATAACTTTTACAATAACTTTTACTGAACTTTATTATATTTTTGTGTTTGATTTTTAGATGACGAAGAGGACTGATGCGCATCTAGATAAAAATAACCGCGAGGATCCCGCTGTCTTCTTCTTTTGTACGAGCTACAGCGGCTCCATTGATTCGAAAATACCTCAAGCACCTACTTTTGATGTTAATTTATTGAAATAAACATTAGGGAAACGGTTACGATTGCATAAATATTCGAAAAATTTAAAAATGCGCAATGGGTACCCAGGTACCCGGATATGCAATAACGTGGGTAAAGTTGGTTATGCACACAAGGGTTAAAAGTTCAAGACTCATTTACTACATATCGTATTTAAGCATTTCTTATGTCATCAATTATGTATAATGCAGCAATAGGAGAAATTCTTTCCTTTTGTGTACAAGATTTCACTTTAATGTTTAAATTATTATATTGCTCCCATAAGCCTGAAAGTCATCTGCAATAGACAACGAAATGACCTGGGTATCGTGCGATGACACCTACCAGCCTGAAACAATGGAATAACTTTTATATATTGTTTTCATAAATATAAAGGTAATTTAATGTACCTAAAAGGATTATACCTATATTGTTTTGCCAGTTTTAGCATTAGTGGTAATTCTTCCAGTTTACAGGACTTTGAATGACCAGAATGAAGATTTTCCCTGATATCTAGTTCTATGAAGATATGGAAATTAGTTTCGGTTGTCAGAGTAGAGCAGCCACGACAATGACATCGTTTATTGTAAGTGATTTCATGAAATTGTAATGCTTTATTCAGAGCACGAAAGCCTTTCTTTATAATTGTATTATGATTAGGCCTTAATGTTAATTGCTCTGTCTTATGCTCGCCACACTTATCACACTTCTCGATTTGATGAGAACTTGGCATTGTGATTGTAACAATTTCATCCAAACTTCAACCGGACTGTCGACTGCATCATAAGAAGTTATAATATAATCTCGTAATTTGCTGTGTTTGTAGTAACTTTGGTATTTTCATACAAGGGTTTTAATAACTTAAACCTCTCCTTATACACATTCTGAGTTGGACCATTGTTCATAAATTTGAAGATAAATTTAAAAAATACGTTATCAGAATTTTCGCCAATGGCAAAATATCCAGAGACCTTGCTCGCACATTAAAGATAGTTGGACCTTCGTTAAGAAAATAAGAAAGATCAAAATTCTTCCTGACCAAACACTGGTGTCTTTAGATGCAACATCCTTATTCACGAATATCCCGAAGGAGTTGGTTCTCAAAGCAATTGAACGTAGATGGAACTTGATTTCCAACAAAACCAAATTCAGTTTACAGTCAACAATTTTTACATGCCATAGATTTGATTTTAACTTCTACTAGCTTTTGTTTCAATTCACAATTTTATGAACAGGTGTTCGGAAGCCCCATGGGTTCCCCCTGTCTCCCATATTGGCCGATATGGTGTTGAACGATCTCGAGACTCATTGTCTGCAATTGTTAGATGTCACGTCACTGGCATTTTTCAGATATGTCGATGACATTTTTACCATCATTCCCACATCGAAAATCAATGATCTATTGAGATTATTCAACGACTATCATCCGAGATTAAAATTCACCTGTGAGATGGAGAAAAACGGTACATTAAGTTTCTTTGACACGATGGTCATTAGAAACAATGATGGATTGATTACAAATTGGTATAGAAAACCGACCTTTTCTGGCCGCTATGTCAATTTTTATTCAAACCACCCGTTTAATTATAAGGCGAATATTATAACCAATTTAGTTGATCGTGCCATTTTGTTGTCTGATGAGCGATTCCACAATTCGAACATATGCACAGTGAAAAATATTCTCACTAACAATTGCTATCCAACACATTATCAACAAATTGGTCAATAAGAGACTGAAACAGTTGAAATATAAGGATATTACACGAGATACTAACAATAATAATGGAAGTAATAATGGCTTCGCTAACAAAAATTATGTAATTGTTCCATATATTAAAGGCACAAGCGAAGGCATACATAGGATATTAAAAGACCGTGGTTTTGATCCCGTGTATACGGTACCTAAAAAACTTAACTCGGTCATCAAGAAAGGAAAAGATCCACTTATTAATATTAAGCAAACTGAGTTAGTGTATATGCTCGAGTGTGACAATTGCGACGCATGCTACATCGGACAAACAAAGAGGCATTTGGAAACACGAATAAAAGAACATAAATCTAATATTAAGAAAGACTCTGATAACCACTCAGTAATTAGTAAACATCGTGAATCATTTAATCATGACTTTGATTGGTCTAACCCTAAAATACTGCACAAAGAAAAACATATTAAAAAGAGAGAAATTGCAGAAATGGTTCTCATTAAAAAAAACAAGACCATAAACCTTCAAAATGACACAGACAATTTATCTAAAATGTATGACAAACTAATAAGAATTTTATAAACACTTAACTGTCAGACGTTACTGACCTCTGTATCATAATGTTTCTAAGTGCTGAGGGAAACGGACGTCTTTAGAGATCGTGCATGAGAAATCCGCTATAGGATGACTATCCGTTATATTAATTTTTACCTTCATAATTGACCAACTGACTTGTAAGTTTTTGAGTATAAGTTATTACACACTCTTTAGTGTGTAATAATTTATAATCCGTTCTACAATATGTGGTACATTGTTAGTTGTAGATATGACTGACTGCTTCTACATCAGTCAACCTACTTCAGTCATACGCTATATTATGTAACCTGAAGAGGATCGCAATTCGCGATCGAAACGTCGTTTTGACTAATTGTAATAAATTGCCAGATAAAGTCAGTACATCGTGTTTATTTGATTTCAATACACTGGCGAAGAAATTTCCTAATTATTGTGAAAAATATCCAGAATTATCCAAGATACTAGTAAAAAGAATTTGTACAATACTCGCAGAGTCGAAAGGACAAGTATTTTTCAAGAAATACATTTTACGCTTATATTAAAATTTTTATTTTCACAACCCCTCGGTCTAGACGTCCTGAAATGGCGTGACAAGCAATTCTTATGTCTTAATTCATTCAGTATCATAGATAGGAAATCAATGAAATTTTGAATCCGGCTAACTTCTATTTAATAAATATTTAATTAAAATTGTCTGGATCACTCACAAATCTTTTTATTTGCACTACAAACGTCTTCATACGAAATACCAACGATTCCATATAAAAACTTTATCTAATTTATCTATTGGCGCCATGGACGTAAGAATACAGGTATATGGACGGAGTGTAATAGCGTTTTCGACTGACTGGAACTGACATGGGTTTTAGCGCTCCCGGAGCGATTAACCCGAAGATACTAGGAACATATGTTCAACCGAAAATGGGTTATAAACCTGGGTTAGGTTCTAGTTACAAAGCAATGGCTTCTGCACGCGTTATAAGAGTTTCAACGTGCGAAAGGAGGTTAGATAATTATAAGTAATATTATAAATGTAATAATATAATGTTTATTATATTTTTATATATGTTTCTTTGTAGTATATGCACAACAATAAAATTAAAATGACAGATCGTACGCATTTTATACTTGCTATTACAGAATTTTTCTTTTCATCAGATAGTTCTGATGATGAAGATTTTAAAATAATTACAAGAACGATAAACATAAAAAGGAAAACACCCCGCATAAAAGAATTTATGAAAATAATAAATGAATATAATGATTATGAGGTAAGATTACTTTTAAGAAAACAAAAATTTAAGAAAACAAAAATATGATGTAAACATTTATTTATTTTTATATGTTATGTTTTCCCAACAATAATGGGTTTTTTCACTCACTGGCGATCCACCTCTAACTATTGTTATGTTTTCATTAACAGTTCAAATATCGTTTCCGCATTTCTCGTAAAACGTGTAATTATTTGATTGATATATTTGCAAATAGTGAATATTATGTTTCGGGGCCAAATATAGGAGGTTCAGAACCGAAAACACCGGCTGAATATATTTTATGCTGTTTATGGTATGCAAATTAACAGAGGAAATTGTATCGAAAATGTCTGATTCCAGAATTTTATATAATATTTGCTTTTTATTTATCTTTTCAGTTTTGCAGTCAATTTTTGCAGTCAATAAGTGTGTCACGCGGGGAGCGGTGAGCGGGCGAACGCGTTCGCTAGAGATGTCAACAAACACACCATTTTGCATGCTGCCGAGTCCGGCCTTCCGCTCCTCCGTGCACTTATTGGCTCAGACGTTTTTCTGAATCAGGCGATAATAATTACGATTTTGTAAAATTTTATATAACTTTTCTTCTCAGTTTAACCCAATCTACTATAATCTTTGGGGTCGTCCATATCGAATCTGACACCCTGTATACCCATTCGGACACCAGCTCATAAAATCAGACCTACATATGTGAATCGACATGATGAAACAGCTATTACATTGCAAGGAATATGTAATGCTGAAAATATGTTTCTTGATGTGTTCGCGGGTGTTTCTAGTAAAGTACATGATGCTCGAGTATATAGTATGTCTTTTATTCGAGAGGAAATATGTCAAATGGGAGAGGATTATCATATAATTGGAGACGCTGCATATCCTCTGTCCGTAAATTTGATAACACCTTATAAAGGTTACGATACTTTAAATGCAACAGAACAAATCTTTAATTCCGCATTTTGTAAAACTAGAGTAAAAATAGAAAATACATTTGGTTTGTTGAAAGGTAGATTTAGACAACTAATGCGTCCGCCTGTTGGGTCCGGGGAGGTTTCCCCGAGACCCGGGAGACGGACCCCCTGCAAGAGGCCGAGTGGATCGGGGCAGCG